CCAATTCCAGGCTCGGATGGAGCGGGACATGAGCAACAAGCGGATTTACGCCGAGGAGGAGCTCCCGGAATCCGGGGCCGGCAGCGAATTCCACCGGAAGCTGCGGGAGGAGGCGCGGAGGAAAAAATACGGGATCGTCCTGCGGGAATTCCGGGCCGAGGATCAGCCCTGGATCCTCCGGGTCAACGGGAAAACCGGCAGGAAGTGAGGGGGGAACCGGAGTGGGAGTGGGGTGGGATTGGGGTGGGAATGGGACTGGCATTGGGATGGAGACAGGGATGGGATTGGGGTGGGACTGGAACAGGGATGGGGCTGGAATGGGATGGGAATGGGAACGGGGTTGGGATGGACCCGGACTGGGATGGGATTGGGGTGGGATTGGAACAGGGATGGGGATGGGTCTGGGGTTGGGATGGGATTGGGGTGGAGACAAGGATGAGATTGGGGTGGGATTGGGACAGGGATGGGATTGGAATGGGGTGGGAATGGGACTGGGATTAGGTGGGAGTGGGACTGGGGTTGGGATGGGATTGGGTGGGAATGGGAAGAGGGTTGGGATGGGATTGGGATGGGATCGGAACAGGGATGGGGCTGGAATGGGATGGGAATGGGGTTCTGGGGTTTTTTTGGGGAGGTTTATGGGTTTTTTTGGGGAGGGTTGTGGGAATTTTTGATGGAGGTGTATGGGATTTTTTTCAGGGGGTTCTGGGATTTTTTTGGGGGAGGTTTATGGGTTTTTTTGGGGAGGTTTATGGGTTTTTTTGGGGAGGGTTGTGGGAATTTTTGATGGAGGTGTATGGGATTTTTTTCAGGGGGTTCTGGGATTTTTTTGGGGGAGGTTTATGGGTTTTTTTGGGGAGGTTTATGGGTTTTTTTGGGGAGGGTTGTGGGGATATTTTTGAGGGAGGTTTATGGGATTTTTGGGGCGGGTTGTGGGAATTTTTGGTGGAGGTTTTTGAGGGGGGGGGGGCGGAATTTTTGAGGGAGATTTATGAGATTTTTTTTTTCAGGGGGGGTTCTGGGTGTTTTTTGGGGTGGTTTTTTGGGGTCCCTGACCCCCCCCGTGCCCCCCTCTCCCAGGTTCCGTGGGGTGAAGAAGGGGGGGGTGACGGAGAACGCCTCGTACTACGTGTTCACCCAGTGCCCCGACGGCGCCTTCGAGGCCTTTCCCGTCAGGAACTGGTACAACTTCACCCCCCTGGCCCGGCACAGGACCCTCACGGCTGAGGAGGCCGAGGAGGAGTGGGAGAGGTGACCCCAAAACCCCA